CCTGACCTGAAGAGCTGCAGAAGAAGATCTGGAGAAGATCGTCAGAGTCAAAAAGCCATGCACCCCAGAGGCTGGTCTGCCAGCCAACAGAGCCTGCTGAACCAGAAGAACTGCTGGAAGAAGGCGAGACTCCAAAGTTGAGACACTCTAGGGGCTAGACTTGCCAGCCCACCAAATCAGCAATACTCTCAGGGCTTGGCTTGCCAGCCCATTAGAGTCAACGTTTCTGGGGCTAGGCTTATCAGCCCCTCAAGTCTGGGGCTTGCCTGGCTGACCCATTGAGCTGACACTGTCAAAGTCCAGGCTGACCTGAAAAATCCATATTAGTGGCACACTCACGGCCACCACAGCCTTGGCCTGCTGGGCTCAGGTGATCTTTCAACCTCAGCCTTCCAAGTAGCTGGAACTATAGGCATATGCCACCATGCCTGGCTAATTTTTTGATGAGGTCTTGCCAAGTTGCTCAGGTTGGTCTCGAACCCGTGGGCTCCTGCAATCCTCTTGCCTCTGCATCCCAAAGTGCTGGCCCGGTGACCCTACTCATTTTTAACAAAGGCACCAAGAACATATATTGGGAAAAGGATAGTCTCTTCAATAAATAATGCTGAGAAAATTGATAAACATAGGTAGAAACATGAACCTAGGGCCCTATCTCTCTTCACATACAAACACCAAATAAAGATGGGTTAAAGGCTTAAATATTAAGACCTGAAACTGACACTGCTAGAAGAAAATTGGAGAAATGCTTCAGGACATTGATCTGGGCAAGTACCTCTTGAGTGAGATACCAAAAGCAAAAATAGACAAATGGTATCATATCAAGTTGAAAAGCTTCTGCACAGCATAGGAAACAATCAGCACAGAGACAACTTATATAATGGGAGAAAACATGTGCAAACTATTCATCTGACAAAGGACTAATAACCAGAATAAATAAGGAACTCAAACAACTCAACAGCAAAAAACCAAAATTAAAAAACAACAAAAAAAACCTCTAATTAAAACATGGACAAAAGATGTGAATAGATATTTCTCAAAAGTAGACATATTCATGTCTGTAATCCCAGCACTTCTGTAGGTTGAGGCAGGAGGATTGCGTGAGGTCAGGAGTTCGTGGCCAGCCTCAGCAACACAGTAAGACCTGTCTACAAAAAAATACAAAATTAGCCAGGTGTAGTAGCATGCACCTGTGGTCCCAGCTGCTTGGGAAGCTGAGGGAAGAGGATTGATCGAGCCCAGGAGTTCAACTCTGCAGTGAGCTATCATCATGCCACTGTACTCTGCACTCCATCCTTGGTGGCAGAGCAAGATCCTATTTCAAAAAAAAAAAAAAAAAAAAGATATACATACATACCAACAGGTATATGAAAATAAGAATCATTAACTATCAAGGAAATGCAACTCAAACCCAGAGTGCAATATGGATATCATCTCACCTGTTAAAATGACTATTCTCAAAAAGAAAATAACAAATGCTGGACAGAATACAGAGAAAGAGGAACACTCACACACTGTTGGTGGGGATGTGAATTAAGTATAGCTACTGTGGAAACTAATAAGAAGGTTTCTCAAAACACTAAAAATAAAACTACCATATCATTCAGCAATCCTAATCTTGGGTATATATCCAAAAGATATTCAGTCGTTAAAAAGAATGAAATCCTGTCACTTACAGCAACATGGACAGAAGCGGAGACTACTGTGAAATAAGCCAGGCACAAAAAGACAAATGTCACATGTTCTCACCCCTATGTGGGAGCTAAAGAAATTGATCCCATAGAGGTAATGAGTAGAGAAGGGTAGTGGGGAGGGAGGTATAAAGAGGGTTTGGAGCATGGGTACAAAAATATGGTAGATAGGTTGGCTAGGCTGGGTGGCTCAGCCTGTAATCCCAGCACTTTGAGAGGCTGAGGCGAGTAGATTGCCTGAGCCCACAGGTTTAAGACCAGCCTGGGCAACTTGGCAAGACCTCGTCTCTACAATAAACAAAAAATTAGCCGGGCATGGTAGTACGCACCTGTAGTTTTGGCTACTTGGAAGGCTGAGGCAGAAGGATCGCTGGAGCCCAGCAGGTCAACGCTGGGGTGGCCGTGAGTGCGCCACTGCACTCCAGCCTAGGCGACAGAGTGAGACTCCAATTTAAAAAAATATATGGTATAGAAGGAATAAATTTTAGTGTCCGATTGTACAAAGGGCAACTATGGTTAACAATAATTCATGGTATCGTTCAAAATAGCTGGAGGTAAAGATTCAGAATGTTCCTAACACAAAGAAATAAATGTTTGAAGTAATGGATATCTCAGTTACCCGGATTTGGTCATTTCACATTGTATGTTTGTATCAGAATATCACATGTATTCCATAAATATGTATAAATATTATGCATTCATGAAAATTTAAAAAACCACAAGATATCATCTCACATCCATTAGGACGGTGATTATGAAAATGACAAGTGTGGGTGAAGATGTTCACAAAGTGCACCCTTAAACATTGTTGATGAAAATGTAAATTGGTACAGTCATTATGGAAAACAGTATGGAGATGCCTCAAAAAAATTATAACTATAACTATCTTATGATCCAGTAATTCCACTACTTTATATACCTACAAAGGAAATGAAATCAGTATTTCAAAGAAAATTTGCACTCCTATGTTTATTGCAGCAATATTTATAATAGTCAAGATATAAAAACAACCTAAGTGTCCCCTGACAAATGAATAGATAAAATAGTGATATATAATTTTGATATATATATCTACTCCTGTATGTCAAAATTAAGCAAACTGTGTATATATATATATACATGGAATATTACTCAGCCTTAAAAAAGGAAATCTGTGACAACATGGATGAACCTGGAAAACATTATACTAATAGAAATAAGCCAGACAAAGAAAAACACTGCATAAAAGTCAAATTTACAGAGGCGAAGAGTAGGATGATGGTCAACAGGAATGGCTGGGGTGGTGGAAATAGAGAGATGTGGCTCAAAGGCAAACTTTCAGTTATGTAGGATGAATAAGTTCTAGAGATCTAATATACAGTATGGTGACTATCATTAATAATACTGCACTATATACCTGAAATTTGCTAAGAGTCAATCATAAGTGTTTTCACCACAAAAATAATAACTATGTGAAGAAATGAATATGATAATTAGTCTGGCTGTAGTAATCAGTTTACTATGTATGTGTATACTAAAACATTGAGTTTTATACTTTAAATATGTACAACTTAAAAATAAATAAGTACAAGAAATATACTCACATCTGTAATCTCAGCACTTTGGGAGGCGGAGGCAAGAAGACTGCCTGAGCCCAGGGGTTCAAGACCAGCCTGGACAACTTGGTGAGACTTCATCTCTACAATAAATCAAAAAATTAGCCAGGCATGGTGGTGCATGCCTATAGTTCCAGCTACTTGGAAGGCTGAAGTTGAAGGATCACCTGAGCCCAGCAGGTTGAGGCTGGGGTGGCAGTTACTGTGCCACTCCACTCCAGCCTGGGCAACAGAGTGAGGCTCCAACTCAAAAACAACAACAACAAAAAAAAACCCAGAAATTTAATTTATTCCTTCTATCTCAGTAATCTCTTATTTTCTTTAGTTTTCTTCATAATTTACTACTTCTTGAAATTATATTCTACATTAGTTCATTTCTTACTCCATTAGAATATATGCTCTATGAGAACAAAAATTTGGTCTTAGTAACCGCTGTATTCTTACTTTCTTCTTATTTTTTTTGAGTTGGGGGTCTCACTCTCTCGCTCAGGCTGGAGTGCAGTGGCACTCTCATGGTCACTGCACCCTCGACCTGCTGGGCTCAGGTGATTCAAGAATCCGCCTCAGTCCTCCAAGTAGCTGGAACTACAGGCACGCCTACCATGCCCGGCTAATTTTTTGATTTATTATAGAGATGAGGTCTCACGAAGTTGCCTAGGTTGGTCTCAAACCCGTGGGCCCAAGCAATCCTCTCACCTCGGCCTCCCAAAATGCAGAATTATAGGTGTGAGCCACCATGGCCAGCACCACTGTATTCTTATAACACCTAGAATACAGCCTGGCATGTAGTAGACAATCTAAAAAAGTATTTGTTGAATGAATGAATGGGGGAACTTGGGGGAGATTTGAGAGGTAACAGATACTAATATAAGAAGAGAGGTAACAGATACTAACATAAGAAGAGAGGAAGCTCTCTTTCTTATATGACAAAAATCCTTCCGGACTGTAGAAGTTTTTGCCTGAAACTTAAAAAACCATATAAGGTTCCTACCACACGTTTTGATTCCCTACACATTAAATCAAATAGTTCTATCTTCGAACGACTACACATGGTGCAGTGGGAAAAGCAGTAGATGGGGATCTGGGAGACCTGGGTTCTAGATCCAGCTTTGCAATTAACTTGCCTTATGACCTTTGGAAAAATGCTTCCCTTCTGTGGGCCCGTTTCCTTCTATGTCAGCTATGCCAGAGTATTTCAGGGATGAGAAGGGATTTTGTCTTTGCTTCTGTATCTCTGCACCTAGAGACATGCTGGTCCAGAGAAACATGTTGCGTGAATCAATGAATGAACAAACGAACAAAAAGAAGGGGCTGCACTTCAGTTCTGAACCTTGCCTGTGAAGAAACATGCCCTGCAAATGAGTTTGGCTTACTGAGCGCTTTCACGTTCAAGTTCTAAGTTGATCGCAAAACCTTGTTTGTTGACGCCACACTAGGTGACTCACACACGTGGTCAACACTGCTTAATAAATGAATGAGTGAAGTGGAAGGGAAAGGGGACAGCATTTCTGTAGTAAGATGAGAAAACTAAAGCCGAAGAGGGAAGTATCTGGACCCCACCATTAGCGGAGACCCTAACTCACTTTCTTGTCCCTCCTATGATGAGGCGTCCCGACTTAATAGCATGACAGTCTGTTCCAAATTCGTCCCTTCTTCCTCTTCAATTTCTCTCCTTACTTTCTGTGAACGTGACCCACCATCCAACCGTCCGCTTTACCTGAATCGAGACCAAAATTCTCTGCATGGCACCCGTGAAACGCTCCACACGAGGCCCCTTCTGGAAATTCTGGACACAGACAGCAACGCCATCTTCGACAAGAGCCACGGGCCTAAGCGCAGCACTCAGTGGGCGGTGACGCTCCCGGATCAGCCAATCGGATGCAAGTTTAGTGGCAGGTGGCTTTCCTCATTGCTGTCGTCTCCGGCTCCCTTTGCACGCTGGGAAATGTAGTCCGGTAGCCATTGCCAGCGTAGGCTGGACCGGAGCATGACGGGAGTAGTAGTTCGGGGGCGTCCCAGGAAAGAGCCGGGTGACGCCTTCTGGTCCGGGGGCGGTCATAGCTCTGCTTGGCTGAAAGGAGGAGGAATTGGCTGCGGGGAGGAGGCTCTAGCGAGGCCTGAAAGGCTGCGCAACCAGACAGGGGAGGAGGTTCGGAGTTCGGGGTTGGGGGCAGCCAGGGAGGGCGTCTGGTATGTTGTTGGGGTCGTGATCAACTGGGGACCGAGGCCGGCACTGTCCACCCAGCCAGGAAGCCTCGTCTTCGTTGGGCCTAATTTCCAGCAGCCGAGTAGGCCTTACCAAAGGCTCCTTACCGTGCGGCCGCCTCAGATTCCTACCTCTATTCTCTGACTGGGAGATGGCTTCCCCGAGCCCCCCGCCGGAGCCAAAGGTAAGTAAGCCCCTCCGGGGATTCCCGTTGTCTCGCCACTACTCTAGCTAGGCCTCACCATCGCTTCTCCATCCTGTCCTCTTTCTTTAGGGCCAGCGTAGTGCAAGGAATACCACCCCACTAACCCCTGGTGCTCTGGAGTACGTTCAGGTTCGCGAACAAACTGCCCACCCTCTCCCCAACCTTTTTTTTTTTTTCCTTAATAAGAGAGATGGTAAATCATCTTGAGAAAATTAGTAATGCTTCAAAGTAGCTCTCTCATCTGTGAGTTCCTCCAGGTGAGACACCGTTTTTGACCTTCTCCTATGTCTTTTGCGCTGGCACGATGCCCGGACCCAAGGTATACACTTAGAGAACCTCCAGGAATTGAATTAAATAGGGTCACAAGCCAGTGCGAATGGAGAGTTGGAGTGAGGCAATGACGTGAGGGGAGCTTTGAGAGGTCTTGGGACAGTTTACCAAAATTAAAATGTTAGAGTATTTTTATTAAACCAAGAAAGCTTTTTCTTTAGGTCCTTCACTACCTAGAACAAGGGTCCAGTCCAGTTACCCTGTAGTCTGATATGCCTGTCAGTTACAATTGATTCCCAGAATTGGGCACCATATGGAACTCTTTTAGTTATGTTCCTCCTAGCCTACTTGGCCCCGATAAGTGATTGCTTCTACCACTTTTAGTGGTGGAATTGTCCTTGAGACAACAGGAACTGACTGCAGAAATCATACTATTCCAGGGGTTGCTGACATTTGAGGATGTGGCTGTGTTTTTTACCCAGGAGGAGTGGGATTATCTGGACCCAGCTCAGAGAAGCCTGTATAAAGATGTCATGATGGAGAACTATGGAAACCTGGTCTCACTGGGTAAGAATCTGCTGTTTTTTTAATTAAAACATCTAAGAAGTTACTAGAAATCAGACTCTGAAAACATTTGGACCACACCGTTACCAAAACTGCTTTGTTCCAGAGTTCTGATTCAAACCTTTCAGCCATTGTTTCCATGACTCTCATCCCTAGCTTCCTTGCAGTGACCAAAATGCAAGCCTTTTGGGCCTCCTGTCTTAATCTTATTCCCATATTGCTTTGTACTTTCCCTCCTGGCTCATCCTCCCACTGTTTTCCTCCCACCTCTTTTCACTCTGCCTTCTGGAGCCCCTGTTCCTCTTCACATAATGTTCCTTACCCCTCCTGGCCTTAACTGAAACCTGGCATTTTTCCAAGGACACCATTTCTCTGGCAGTTCTTCAAGGGCTGCTTATTCTTCCACATCCTCCTCCTTTTCCATCCTTTGTCTCAACGCTGGAAGGGAGAAGTTATTGTTCTCCCAGCTTTTCCATGCGGTTCCCAAAGCATTAATTTTCTCCTTTCAAGTAAAATGTCCCCTCTTTAAGGCCTCAGCAGTCTTGCTTTACCCACTCTCTTCCTTTTCACTATCATCCGTCAACTTTTTCTTTGGTCTCTCACACATAAATTTGGCACATTTCACAATCTACTTTAACTCATGCCATCAGTGACCCAGTCAATACTTGAGTTCCAGTGGATCTTACTTCAGAGACCCTGCCTTCCTTTTTATTCAGCAACTCACATCATTGATTTAACAGGCAAATCTTAAATTCCAATATTCTATTCTTTAATCAGTTATACAGGCAATAAAAGTTTATAGACTGTAGCTAAAAAACTAAACTTTGACTATGACCAAAATGGACATGGTTTCTAGTCTTGTGGAGCTTACTACCACTTCTTATCTATCTTTCCTCCTCCTTTCCACCTAAACCTGCTAATGATGTTTCCTGTCCCTTGATGTCTCCATTTTTTCACCAAGGTGTCAGTCCCTCTTGACATTGCTTTCCCCATCTAATCTCCAGCATGCTGTCTTGCCACCTTGTCATTATGCTTTGCCCATTCTGCAAACTTCAAATCTTGTAATTGTTATAAAATTTGCTTTTTCTTTTCTCCTACCTGAATTGCTAAAGACAACAGAAATTCTCTGGCTAGAAGGATTAATATTCTGTGTATATGTATTTTTTTTTCTTCTGGTCTCCACTGGATTTTTGTGTCGTAGCAATATTTTTTTTGTCATTGATAGGCTAACTCTTCTGTTACGTTTAGTGATTATTCCAAAAAGTTTTCCTTGGGTCTATCACTCTATCACTACTGTGAACTTTGCTTTTTGTTTCACAGAAAAACAGAGGTCAGTAAGCATGAACTCTCAGCTTCTCTGCCCATCATCTGCACACTTAAAGCTGTTCCTATCTCCTTACTTTTCCAGAAACTTATCAGGCATCTTTTTGTTGTTATTATAGCTTCAGTCTCTGTTTCTTCTCCCTTATTACTTTTATTCTAATGATTGGCATGTTCATGGCTCTTCCAACTGGAGAAAAGGGAAAAAGAAAGAAACCTCCTATGAACCAGAATCTCTGTCTTACTGCTTCCTGTAACATGCTACTCATTTTCTTCATAGTCAAGTTTTTTAAGAGTAGTTAATTGTGTTGTCTACTTCTTTATCTCCCTTTATGGCTAAGCCCCTTTGTCTTGCCTCTAATGCCCCTCTTAAGTTGTTTAGCAGGGGGTCTGTAGTCACTTCATTGTCAAATGTAGTAGACTCTTTTGGACTTTATTTTATTCCACCTCTTTATGAATATTTGAAACTGTTTATTGTTTACTTCCGTTGGTTTGTATTCTCAGACTTCCTCTGAGTCTATGCACTTTCATTGAAAGACCTTATCTATACTCAGGTCATCAGCTACCACTATGTGATAATAAGTCCCAAATCTTTATCTCCAGGAAGATAATGTGGGGCCTATCTGAGTTCACATTCTGGTTCCACCACTTACTTAGCCTTGTGACTGTAGTGACTCATCAACCTCTCTGAGTCTGAGCTTCTTTTTTTATAAAACGTAAATAATAATAGCACCAACCTCTTTGGGTTATTGTAAACATTAATTGAATTAATATTTGTAAAGCATTTAAGACACTAGCATGTAGTAAGTATGATATAAGTGTTGATTGCTCTTGTTATCGTCATCATCATCATCTGTGAGTTTCCATTTCCTAGTCATCTTTTGAAGACCACATAAGTAATTCATACCTGGCAAGTCTCAATCATTAAGATCTCAAACAACTTCTCTTCCAAGGTAAGCACTGCTTGTGTTACCTTGTATATACATCTGTTGTTGAATTTATATTATACTATACTTTTTTTTTTATGTTATTTCTCTAACCTCACTGATCACCATGAGGATGGTAAATATGTCTTTTTCATTTGATTTCTCCAGCACTTAGTATGGAGCCAGGCCTATATTATATGCTTCTTAAATATTTTTGTGACTGAATAAGAACAGTTAATTTAAGACTGAATATCTCTTAACTGGATTGTTGCATTAGCCCCTAAGCTAGCCCCTTGCCACTAGTCTCCCTTTCTTTTAATATATCCTCTATATTGCCACCAAAGTGATTTTGTATTAGTTAACTGCTTGAAACTTCTGATGGCTCCAGATAGCTTAAAAGATAAAAGCCTGTGCTCACCTGCCCCTTCGTGATAACGTGAAAAAGACCACCACCCAATTACCTTAACTACCTGCCTCCCATCAAAAGGAAGGTTTAAACTTATTTTACTTAAGCAACCATTTGTCATTGCTTTGTTAACCTCTGGTCAGGCCACATGGCTCTTTGAGTTATGTCCCCCAGGTTTCCTAGCTTTGTCCTCCTCCCCTACCTTGGAGAGATGAATCAATCTCTCTCTCTCTCTCTCTCTCTCTCTCTCATTTACTTTCTAAATAAGCTATATTTTCTGATCTAAGAAATATAATAATAATAAACAAAGGGTAACATTCTTAATTTCCTAGCATACTAGGACCTTCCAAATGTAGCCTTTGCCTTTTCTTGTCTCATCTATTAATTCCTGCACACCACTTTAATCTTCAGTCCTACCAGCTGCTGATTTTTTTAATATGCTGATTTTTTAAATATGTCTCTGAGTTACTGCCAGCTTATCCATACATATGGTATCCTGGTTGATAGAACCAGGCAAGTACCCAGCCCTGCCTGCCCTTAGTACTGCAGCATGTGAATACCATATAGACAAAGGCATGGCGGTGAACCCATCTGTGATCTTGCACTTTTAGTCTCTCTTCTTTATTTCAATTTAAATACAGCTTTCCATTATTTATTATCTCTCCTCCCACAGTCTTTTCATTTTCAATAAACCCTATCTCTATCCCCTTGGTAAGAGCTTCCTTGATGAGAGATCACTATTATTCCACTGTTCCAATTTAGTGTTCTCTGCCACTTCATCTTATTACTTTTCATGATATAGCTCTCTTCTATCTGTAATTTTGGCTCTTATTCATATTTTTTAAAATCAATGCTGCTTTAAAAAAAAAAAAAAGAGGAAACATCAATAGCTACGTTGATGATGCAACTGATAGCTTTATCTCTCAGTTCTTTGACCTCTTCAATTTTAGTGACTCTTTAATCTACTTGAGCTAGATTGGACCTTGACAGAACTGGAATGGTTGTGCATACAAGACCTTGAACTCATTGTTTTTATTCTTTGTTTGTGATCAAATAAATTATTTGACTATAATTATTTTGTTCAATTCATTTAATAAATAGTTATAAAACACCAGGTTAGGCCCTAGGAATTCTAGTTCTTCCCCATTCTCCCATTCTATCAACCAGGAAAACTGTTTATTTTATACTCTGTTGGATAACAGGGTTAGCAACTATGGCCCACATGCCAAATCAGGTCCTTTGTTAAAGTTTTATTACAGTTTTATTAAACTTGGACCTGCCTATTTCTTTACATATTATCTATGATTGCTTTCATGTTATAATGGCAGAATTAAGTAGTTGCAATAGAGATCATATGATTCACAAAGTCAAAATACTTATTGTCTATTTATTGAAAGAGCATGTCAGCTCCTATTCTATCCTAAAGTTTATTTACTTATGTCCTTGCCTTGTCCCTGTCCCTTCAGCTACCATGTTATTAAAACTGTTTGGTTAAAGACTATAGAAATCAACTCAAGCTAGCTTAAGCCAACAAGGGGAATTATTGTAGAGATGTCTTATAGACTATTTGAACATGATTACAGCTGAACACTAGAAAAGGACTGAAACCATTTATCTCTTATAGTTCTGGAGGCTGGAAAGTCCAAGATCAAGGTGCTGGCATCACCAAGTTTCCGGTGATGATCATCTTTCTGGCTTGCAGAGGGTCACCTCACTGTATCGTCATATGATGGTGGGTGCGAGGGAGGGGAGAAAGCACTCTGGTCTTTGTTCCTCTTCTTATAAGAACACTGATCTCATTGTGGAGGTCCTACCCTCATGATTTCCTCTAAATCTAATTACTTCCCAAAGGCCACACTTCCAACATATGAATTTGTGGTGGGGGGCACACCAACGTTTAGTCTATAACATTCTTTTTTTTTAATCTCTTATTTCCCCATTGGCAGACTAACCTTACTTTCTTAATGTTCACATGCTGTCCTTTTAGCCTCTGATTTGATAGATTACAATTCTGGTAACATTTGTATTAACTAGCTATTTCAGTTTCAATTCTAAGTTCCTGGGAGAGATCCACTTTGAGTCAACTGTCTACTAGACAGATTAGCCATGACCACAGGATGGGAAGATATCATATAATCATTACCAACCCAAATCTAATTGATAATCATTTCAAGGCTGCGCTGTGTTGAACGCTGCACTTGTTTTCTTCACTTATCTATCCTGTTGGCTTATTTATTTTTATGCCAGTGTTACTGTTTTATTTACTTAAACAGCATATTACAGTTTATGTCTGGTAAGATAAATCATTCTTTAATATTCTTCATGTTGTATTTAGCCAGTTGTTTGCATTC